TGAGTCATGGTGCTTCAATTGGTGATCTTCCGCGTGAATATGAGGAAGTGGAGCTCCTCCGTGTGTCCTGAGAGGACGGTGACACCTCCATATCTAGAGGTTCAAAGGGGTTGTCAAAAGGAACCTCTGAAGGTATTGGGACAGTTGGTAATTGTTGTTTCCTGTTTAATTTTTTCGCTTTCTTTTGGGGCAAATGACCAGTGTTAGACTGTTTAGCTGACGCTTGTGATGTCTCTGGCTGAGTCTTAGTCTGAGAGTCTGATGAAGACTGAGAGCCAGATGAAGTCTGAGATCCAGATGAATCCTGAGAGGCAGATGGAGATTGAGTGGCTCGGGATGTCGATGGTAAGACTGAAGCAGAATTCATGGGCTTCTCTGACTTGACCCAAGTCAGATCTGTTTGACAGGTAACAGAGGATGTCACTACAGACCGAGTTACTGCAGCAGAGTATGACAGATGTAATGGGGTCGAATTCTCAATTTTAAAGAGTTTTTTAGCGTCAAGGTATGGGATGTTATTTTCGCATTTTAGCTTCATTATTTTTGATTCCGTTTGCCAAACGGGACAGGATTTGGATGAAGAGTCATGTGGACCAGAACAGTTTGCACATTTAAACTCTTGGTCACAGTCTGTGTTTTCATGATTGCCACCACAGCGATGACACACCACAGAGCCACGACAAGAGTTGGACCCATGACCAAATTTCTTGCATTTATAACACCGGAGTGGACTGGGGACATACACATCCACTCCGATATTAAAGTATCCTGCCTTAATTGACTGTGGAAAAAGATGCACGGGCAAACGTCAAGAGATAGGTATTAGTTTTCACAAGGGTACCCTCTCTCTTGACGGCGAAACGTTTTACAGCGGTTACACCTTGATCTACAAGCTCTGCAGCAATATCATCCTCTGACATGTCGAACAAACAGCGAGCTCTGTCGCGAATGATTCCTCGACATGAATTTAATGTTCTGTGCACAGACACAGCAACCTCAATATTGGCAAAAGTTTTGATGGACAAAAGATTGAGAGACTGCTGTCTCCGTGCACATTCCACCAGAAGTGAACCACTACGGAGACGGGTGACGTTCTTAACATCTCCACAAAATCCAGAAACAGCCTTAGATATCGCAAAAGGATTTAGTTTTATAGGCAGAAAATCAGTTGCCTCAAACACAAGGAAACGAGCCCATGAGTCAGAATTCGAAGAAACAGTTTTGAAGGGTCATCAACATGTTCGAAACGTCGCTTTTTTCGTTTCGCAATGAACCAGATGGAGTGGGATCCATGATAAGTGTAAATAGATTCGGCACCCCTGCTCCCCACCCACCACGGAGTGTCAACAAGGACAGTGTCGAATAGCACCGGATCTCCTAGATGCTTACACCAGGGATACAGGGGTGTTATACTCCAGAGATAAAGACATGAAAAGCCATGAAAAACTAAAAGAATAAATGCCAGGCTGGTTCGGCCGATGATATCATTCCCAAAAATCACAGATTTCAGAGATCTAATACCACCAGATTGGCCCATGAGCCACCGCCTTCTGGCATAGGACTCTAGGCAATTTAAATTTATCAAAAATTAGTACAATGTAGATCAAAATAACCAAAACCCAATGATATCGTATTGTGCAAACATAGTCACCATGCACAGGGCTTGGCGTGACCAGCCGATTGATAGAACCGGGCCAGTTCTACCACCCGTCTAGGTGAAGTAAGGGCCAAAGTGGTGTGTTGGGCAAAAGGAACACGGTTCCAGGCTCCCAGTGCCCTCAACCACCAGAATCCCGTCCTCCACCGACACAGGGGCGCAACCCACGGCAAACGGGTTGGTGGACCAAATATACCCCCGGGTCCACAACGGGGGGTCGAAGAGCGCTTAGCGTTACCCAGCACCCACCACGAGGAGGTGGCTCTTCACGGGTGCCTTGTATTATTTGATATGATAAAAATATCTCTCATATATCTATCAACAGTAGAATGAGACCTTTCAAATGACGCGTGACATGTTGTAGCAGTGATGTGTTACAAGCTGATTTGCAAATGTAGGCTTTATCAATCATGGCACAGCAGTTAAAGCTTCTGGTTGACTGGTGTCGACAGAGATAAAAATACACCTTGTTTCTTTCATAGTGAGAAATCCTCTCATGAAGGAAAAGAAGTCTAAATCCTCCAAACTGTGTTCAGTACACCATCCCTAATACTTTCGAGCTTGGGAAATGTAGCAATACCGCAGCAGCAGCAGCGAGGTCAAAGGCAGTCGGGGACACATAAAAAAGGAATACATTTTTATATTTAATTTTTTTTTTTTATTATTCATTCAAAATCAGTAGATACAAATATACAAAGTACATGATGCAACAACACTTCTACACCGTAAAACAGAAATTCATATGGGTTGGCATTACACATATTGGAATCTTCATTAAGCTGGGAATGTGTGCAGTAGAGATGACCATTTTCTGTCAAATTGTAATATGTTTTGATTCTTACTGGCAATAAACTTTTCTGTCTTGAAAATATCACTCAATATTTTTACAAATGTATCCAGTGATAACTTATTTTTTTTAATACTTGATATATGGATATATTTTTTACTGACAAGAAGGGAATACAATTTTCACAAAATGTACATTTATGTTGTTTGCTGCTACCATAGCACCAAAAGCCGGATAGTACACCATTGAAATAAACGTAAATACAGTAGGAAATACATGCCATGACCGGATTTACGTATGTTTTCAGATATTTCCTAATTTCGGGCATATATTTCATATGAATCTATACTATTGAAACATATGCTCATCGTACATTTTCGTATGCACAAGTACCTCATTCATGTATGCCATGACCGGATTGTCAGGTATTTACAAACATGAATTGCAAAACAGATACCCCAGTAAATACATGATCATACAATATTTCCGATGCATTCCTTTGAATTTCAATGGGTGCTGACATTTCCGATTCCGAGTTTACTCAGGTTGGAAACATGTAAATTTTCAAATTTGCAAATTTTTACACACTTATAGATATTTATGTATCATACCGGATTTCGGGGGTATGTATATGAACGGTTCATACAATTTCATGTTACATGCGCTCAGGCAAGATGATCATTTGTTTCCATCATGTGAATTACTTGGTTCATGTAATTTCATTTTCACACATTTTAGTACGTTTGAAATCAACGTTCACGTGACCTCATTATTCTTACCATCACCTGACTAAGAAAGCAGTATTGCGCAAGCTAACATGGCTTATTAAGCTGCACTCGCTCTTGCTACCAGTATCAGTTACGCTTTGTCTGCGGTGTTGGCAAATCTTGTGAGTGGTGAACAAAAGGGCGATGAGCAGCCCCTTTGTCCTTGCAAGTGTCCCTAGCTGTCCCAACAGAATAGCACTTTATCTCTCCTGGAGCACAGCCAAATACGCTACACGAACCAACTCGTAATTTCATAAGTCTGTTCAGCTGTCGCATCACTACTGTAAAATATTATTTGGCAGTACATAACTGGAATATTATTGCACTGCATGTGACCTTTCTTAATAGTCTCACAGTGCCTGAACCATGTTATGTCTCCTTCCGTTCAGCCTTTGCTGTAATAACGCCATACATAAAATTAAAGTTGTCCACATTTGTTTCATTAACACAAACGTACACGACAACAAACAACGCCATTTAAAATTATATTCTTTGAGACATGAAATGAAAAATAGCATTTATCGTGTAGCGATTATGGCCGGATAGCACAGGCGGATGCGTTCTCTGAGTATACCATAGACATGTTGGACCTCCGTGCCTTTTGTGAAATTCGTCTTGATTGGCCTGTTTAGATTGACGATCCATAAACCCAGATTCCGAAAGGAAATGTCACACACGTAAATGTGATGTTCCATTGCTGTAATTTTCCCTGTCGGAGAAGTCCTTCTCACAAGATATATATTCCGTTGTTTGGAGCAGGCCTATGATAATGCGCATGTGCTGGTCAACGCGTATCTACTTCCGGGAAGTGTCGCGCCAGTGCGGCAAATGTCAAGAATGCTGTCAAAACAGCGATACTGTTGTATTTGTAGTAATCATTGTAAGAAATTTGCGAATGGCCGGAAGATCACTATGCAGGATTCCCTGCAGATATACGACTGAGAAGGGTTTGGATTCAAAGATGCAAGCTTGTCCGTTCCAACTTCAAATACACAAGAAATGACAGCACCAGATTATGCTCGGAACACTTTTACGGCGGGAGGGACCGAGTAAGCTTCATCCTTGCCAACTGTTTTCCCAAAGAAGACATTCAAACTTTCGGTAAGATTGTTTGTGAAAAAATTTAGCTTAAAAGCAGATGGTATTTCGTATTATCCATCAAAGTGATAAAGCAAGGCTTAGGAGGTTAGTCGTATCGTATCATGTAGACTAGTACACATACAGATCAAGAATTGAGATAAATTTGACTTTATTATGTGAATTCCAAATGAAATATGAAATAATTACGTGCATGTTATTAGAACAATATTGGTAAGTTGGTAACCTTATTCCTTTCAATGAATCCATCCAAACATTGGCATTGCAAAAAACGGTTTTAATTCCTTCATGTCATTATTATTTTCTAAATTCTGGAAAATTAGTTGACATTTTCCCCTGATTACTGCATACATTTCCAAATAAAAAATGAGAGTTGATTGGTGATCATTTTATCTTCTTTTACAGAATGTGTCCCATCTTGTCCATGGAACTACATGTGAGACCGATTTGGATCATGGTCTTGGTGAGAACATGGATATTGATGATGTTAATGAGATTGCTTTGCATATGGAGGATACAAGTATGTGTGATGTGTCAGCAGAGAAATCAGATTCTCCTGCAGGACTTTTATCAAGACTTGAACGTTCCCTTAGTCACCATGACTACTGTGGTTCCCAAATGTTGACCAGTCTCTCTGTGAATAAATGTACCCAAACATTTTCGGAACCTGTTACATCAGCTGGAGCTCAGACATTTGACAATGAAATTATCTATTGCAATGCAAGCACTCAAACATATGATTCATTGATGCACAGTGTTGGTATTCAAGTTGACAAACCAACATTGACCTATGAGGATATCAGGTGCTCTGATGAAAGTGTTATGTTCTACACTGGAGTTCCAGATTCATCAACATTTGAGGCTTTGTTTGATGAAATGTGTGATGATGAGCAGGTTTACTCTGACACATCTGATGGTGGGAGACCACATGCTTTGAGGCAGATAGATGAATTTTTCATGATTCTAATGAGATTGAGATTAGGACTGTTACTAGATGATTTGGCATACAGATTTAGAATTTCACGTGCAACATGCGGCAGACTCTGCAACAAGTGGTTTGACTATTTGTATGTTCAACTCTCGTTTTTGGTGCAATGGCCAAGTAGGGAGAATGTTAATGCAACAATGCCAGATTCATTTAGTACAAATTACCCAACCACTAGAGTTGTCGTAGATTGCACAGAGATATGGACAGAGACACCTAGTTCACTTCAGCTACAGTCACTTTTATACAGTGACTATAAGTCACATATGACCTACAAGGCTTTGATTGGGATAAGTCCAGCTGGTGTTGTAACATTTTCTTCAGATTTGTATTGTGGTAGTATCAGTGACAAACAGATCACCAAACTTAGTGGCCTTGTTGAATTGTGTGAGGAAGGTGATGCTATCATGGCAGACAAAGGTTTTCTCATCTCTGATTTTACTACACCTAGAGGTATTGATCTAATCATTCCCCCATTTAAAACTAAAAAGCAACAAATGACTCAACATGAGGTGAATGTAACCAAGAAAATTGCCAGTTTGAGGATTCATGTTGAGCGGCAAATGGAACGAATTAAAAACTTTCGCATCTTACAAGGTACTATTCCCATCACAATGGCTTCCCAGGTAACAAAAATATGGCATATATGTGTTTGTTTGACAAATTTGCAACCACCTCTTGTTCTTAAATGATATAAATTTGAATGAATTTGTTCGGGGTTCGGAGTACATGTAACTTCAATGATTTGCAGATTATTTCTTGAAATGTTAGAAGACTTAAAAAAACTTAAACATAATGACTTGGTGAATTATTTTAGTTTGTTTGACATAGTCAGCCTTTTTTTAGACCTTCATTAGGCCTGCAACATATTTTTCAGACATTTTTCACTTTGGTCTCTTTGAAACGCTTAGGAATATTTTGATAACGGTCAGGTAACCCCCTGTTATTACAAGCTACTAATTATTACCTCAAGCCCTGTTCTGTTAGCTGTACTCACTCCACTGCAACTGGATTAACTACTACTATTAACTAACTTGTTAGGTCAGGTGTTGGTTGTGAGTAGGTGTCTAACAGAACTTATAGATAGGTATAGATAATAGAGCATCACTGCTCAGTGATCATTATTGATCAGTAGATGATCACTGTTGCTAATAATTGACAAAACAAATACGAAGATTCTATATTTATTTACATTCACAAATATATTAATTCCTGTCTTGACACATTGTCTGAATGCAGTGTCAGGTAAGTTGTTTTACACAACATCCGCATTGTCCATCATATGTACAATGACACACAGGTATATATTGTCAATAAGAACATTTACATTTTTTACAAGAAACCTATTTTTTTTGCTTTATCTGTAGTATGTGAATGCCATTAGAACATTACTATAAAGCTGACAAATTTGTAGCTTTATTGGTAGAGCATGTCATTCAACAAATGTAATATTGACAAATGTGTTAAATACTGAAATAATAGTGTGCTTGAAAATGTGCCTTTCTTTATTTTTATTATACAATGCACCAGTTATGAAAGGATGTGAACTGTGAACAGTTAACCTTAAAGGGAGATAATTTAGCAAAACTACTTTGTAGTGCGTTTTCAGTTGTGGCAGGTTTTAGTGATGCTCTAGGTATCCATATGCAAATACCAAATTGTGATGTTTCATATTATTAACGTTTGTCTTTACAACATATATACTGGTACAGAGGCCTCAATACTACAAGAAAGATTTCACTTGACTCTGTAGCACTGAATGGTTCAGGAAGTTCCATAAGTATATTATCTCTCTAGCTGTTAAACAGCTATCCATGTTGTTGAAAGTGAGTCAGTATTGATCTGCACACAGTTATCAGTTCACCAATAAAATAATTTTAGTGATCTGTTTGTGTTTTTGTTATATATACATATTTAAAAACACTACTAATTGATCTTCAAAGCTGATAATTATTATAAGCCATCAAATAAGATGGCAAAAGATTTTAAGAACATTTAGCATGCAGAATAAAAGCACTTAAATACAAGGGATGAAGCAATTTAGTTACAGACAAGTCTGTTTCTTGTGTCATAGTGTAAGTGATTTCATGGTACTTGCTTTCACTGTAAATGTACAATAGGAAAAAATATTTATATTTGGTTATATTCAAGCACTTGAACCTACTCAGTGGATTGGTATTCTGCACATGCTACATTTAATTCAAACACTCTTTTGAGAACTTTAGGCAAACATTCTAGAAATATGCACTTGTCATTTTCACCTTGTGTATTCAAACACTTTTCAAGCAAGCATGAACTCTTTTTCATTAAACATTGCCATACTGTTTCAACAATGAATGTGAACTGGTCAGCACAGGCAATCACTGATACATTTATAGGAACACTTGAAATCTTATTTAATTATACAGTGGAATACCCCTTTTCACTCTTCTTGAGAATAATTCTGGAATTACATTAGTCAGGTAAAATTTGTTCAACTGGGGCAGCATGTCATTCCAGACTTTTTCATCAAATCTGATTCTGTCAACAGTCCACCCATTCAAAGTCCAAATCATGAAATCACACCACAGTCTTTCAGTAATAGCCATTTGACCCTGAATTTGGTAATAATATCTATGAGACCTTTTAAGACGAACACGGTCATTCTCATCTAGGGAACAGTAGAATCTAGGATCCTTGGCACACTCCTTGGGCTCCATCCATTTCCAGTCACAGCGTGCAGGACACTTTATCTCAAGAACACCACCAGTATGTCCATCATCAGTCTGTATCAAACCATCAGGGCTAGCACCAAGGTGTGGATACTTTGGATTAACAATAAGACCACATTGTTCCACACAGACACAGTTCTTGTTTGCTGTTTGATAGACCTTGCGTGCTGCAGGTTCATGACTGGTTCCCCATTTACAAAAAAGTAACATCAGAAATGTCTCTGTAGCCACAAATATCTTTAAGAAGATTATCTGGCTTTGTGTCACTGCGCATCAACACAACATCTCCAAAATTAGAAGAAGTAAGTCTTTCACTTCTGGCAGCTAACCATAAGTCGTTTTTATGCTGACCTCCTGTTAATGTCTTGATACAATGGGCATCTTCCTCTGACACATGCATACAATCAAATAATACCTGCATTTTTTGCTGACAATCAGTGGAATGAAGATCTACATGGTCACAATATGAAAAGGAAATGTTATGAAGGGGAGGCAGAGAGGGTTTCATGTTTGATGGCGTAGAAGTGTCTGCATAAAACTTTAACCAGGCAGCATTGGAATTCTTACTTTCAAGTTTCTGTTTAAATCTCTGACAGTTGACAATGGGTTTAATGTAATCTGCTTTTCATTACCAATCTTATCACACTTCTCTGAATTTGAACAATTTTCTATCACTGCTTTCCTTTCATGTAGAACAGAAGATGACTTTCTAAAATTAACATCTTGTGATCTTTTTGGACTAAGTTTCCTCTTGCGTGGGTTATTCCACTTGCATGGTTGGGATGTGCATGATGTAGTACCGGCTTTCCTCCTTGTTGTCACATCAACTAAACAGTGGCACAGTGCTGCAATGTGATTGCAAGCCTCACCAGCCCTGAAATATGTATATAAAAATAAATAAATTAGGAACAAATCTCAAATTTTGTTTACATCATGATTATTTGAAATCTTTTCTTCATACTATTTACTAAGAAATGAATTCTCATGCTTATGAGTACAAATTATATGTTACACATATCCTGGGCACTGTTAAGGTTTGCTTGCCTTGAAATTTATATCTCCTGGTGGGGTGTGGCTGAAGAAATTCTTTATGGAGGGAGCAGAAATATAAGGTATAATATTAAATAAGAAAAAGACAAAGAAGGACCACTTACCCAGCTGCACAAGTGCAGTCTGCAGAGTGAATCTTGCCTGTAACCTTTGACAAACAAATCCATGCAATGTGGTCTGGGCATTCTTTCTTGTTGCTCGTAGGCAGTGATGGTATGACTTTGCATCGCACGATGGCATGGCTACATACGTCTGAGACGGGGCTAAACTCAAGTGAATGAACATGTCCGTCTTCAAAATATACGAAAGACTTATGCTGTGGCTTCACGTTCATGGTGAGAACAAAGTAGTTATAGACTTCAGTCTCTGAAAAATCAGGAATGGCACTAGTGTCCCGTATCCAGACTGTGAGATTCTGCGGATCAGGAATACTCTCGCCGAGGGGGTGTTATCAACTTGTTATGAAGTGGTCGAGTCGGTAGATTTGCAAGCTTTGTCGCGCTTGCATTTGTTGGATAACAAAGTCTGCTTACCCCGTTCGCCCTCTCAACAAGCTCAGAGTTCTTACCAGTAACATATTGGCCATGATCGCGGAGGTACGCTTTCAGCTCTGTAACTTTCATGACCTCTATCTCGGTCACCAAGCAACGTATCAACAGACGCCATTGTTGCTAAGTACGTCCCGGAAGTTGGAGGTGTTTCGCGCCGGAGTAAATAGGAAGGGGAGATAACTCACGTTTTGAGAGAGGCCAATTACGCCCCAGTGTTGCTAAACATCTTGCAGACCTTTATCCTGACATAGACGCAGACCTCGCATGTTCAAGTTCAGATCTGACAGGTGCCGAAAATATTGATTCCGACAAGAATGCAAGATTACAGTGGGTTATTGTTTTCCTAAGTAAGTGGGGTGCTTTCTACAACATTGGAGATAATGGTATTGTTGTCCTTCTGATATTCCCCCGAACGGAAGCTCTACCCTTTTAGGGTACAATGTGTATGTTACAGATTTGTAGGGAATAGTCTTAAGGCTTTTCTACTTTGACCAGGATTCTCCCAACTTGGTTAGTATCTTGCGGACGTATATGGAGAAAGTTCGAAGAATCTTGCTGTATAAATACAATCATAGAAATACCGCTGTGTTTGAAAAGTACCCTCAATCCGATAGCCAGTGAGATTATTGTGAAAGATCGCAATATGTATCATCATAAACGGGCCCAGATAAAGGTACATGTAATTCATTCCTACATTATATCCTTTTATAGACACGGGACATGGTTGTTACAGGTAGGGCAAACACTTTCTTCTATAGGTATCTGCCGGTTTCACGCTACATACATGTATTTAGATTATTGAGAAAAATAGCGACGCATGTTCCCCTCCATGACACATATAATTGTTTAGATACCCAGTGATTAGGGATAGCGCTGCAGCAATTGCAACTTATTGAAATTTACGACATACACTATCATCTGCAGTAGTACTGCCATACATAGCATCGTATTTATTACTCTCTTACATAAGGTGAAATATCACAGGGTTGTCATGGTAACGATAATTTGACATACTATTTATTGTCTTATTGTTTTATCTGCGATTAGAATTTAAATCAGTTTTGACGTGAGCATGATAATAGAAAAGAAGCTGTAAAACGAATATTAATGTGATCGAACCTATAGGCCTTGGTAAAGGCGAGTTTCAAGCCACCTAAAAAACCTTCATGATAAATATCTGCTAATCCGTGGCACGATTCCAACCATATCATGAGCATGTGTTTGTGAATCATAATCAAATAGTCATGTTACAAGGCATCCATGCCGCGTCAACAACACATGGAAACGCACGAGAATTGCAATACGGGCCCCTAAACCACTTATATTCCGTGACCTGGAGACACATGTGATTGAGCGTATGTAGGGACAGGTAAAACCACAGGTAGACAAAATGAATACACGTGCTGTTATATTTTTGAATTATGAGTAAACATTCGTCCTTGTCACGGGATAAATGTATACTTCCAGTTTCAACCAAATGTACATACGACGGAGAACGAAATCTAGGTTAAGCTAGTTGACCCAAACAATGGTCTGTTTTCCAAATATTTTGTTTTCCATATCTTGTCCCAATCTGTATCCAGAGACCATATAATAGTCTATTATATTGTCTCTCCTGTATCATAGTCACAGAACGATATTATTTCCCCTTCCGCCCAGCCCTTACTGTAATGCTTACGCCCTAAATGAAGCATATTTAGATATTCCCAGGTTCAGCGGAAAACTCACTGCAGGGTTCGGGTTACAGACTAAACATACCAAACACCCATGGCTTGCGGGGGACATCTTCAGTAACATTTACATCTGCCAACTCTGAATTTGCAAGTGGGGAGGCAATACGCCAATGAGACTAAGGGTCCTGTACCATGTTTGTGAAATATCTATGATGCCTTATATGAAGTCTATAATCTAAGCAAGTCTAGCTAAAAGCTTTAAGTCACTGCTTGAAGAAAGGCTCCTTTAGAAATTTTATTTGGTAAATATTAGTATTTCACTGACACATTGGAAAACACATAGCAACCTATAATTCAGTGTGACTATGATTAAGCCATCACTGTAAAACACAAGGGTTATGTCCTTTGAGTTAACTGACAGGCTTTCGGTATCAAATATTTGGAACCCCGGCCAAAGGTGATGTAATGCTGTCTGGAAATATGGCGTTTTTGTAATGCTTTGGTTGTACTTAATGATAAGTGATTGTTAAATGTACAAATGATGTTTTTGAAGGATAATCTCAACTTACTCAGAGACTTTGCACGTGTTTTCCCCCACTCTTTCCACACCCATCCTTCATGTTTGTGACATGATATGCACACTGAAAAATTAAAACAGGTATAAAAATAATAACTGTTTGCAATCTTTACCCAATTTAGTTTTCCATTTATTTAGCAATTTTCAGTTTGTATTATTTCCTGGAAATTTTGTACGAAGGTACATTTAACAGTTTCACCCAATAACAGTAAAGCATACAGATAATACGTTTTGGTACTTTGATAGATTAATAAGTTCACAATATATTATATAACAAATCAGACAGCAAAATGCAAAAATTAAAAACGCATGAGCAACATAAATGATGTCAGGTAGTAAGCTTTCAATAATTATTGAAACTGCTTAGTTATCTAACTTTATGAACTAATTGCAATCACTAGAGTTTTCTATAAACTACCCAAGAGATGGAATCAAAATAGGTGTACAGTATATTCTGTTGGGTAACTGAAATTTGAGAAAACGTCCGTATGGGACAATATCTGTATTCCGAATCAAAAAGGGGCCATCCCACGTAGTGGTGTAACGATTCATCGATATTATCGATGTTTGCATAGTCAACTATGCGATACGAATGCATCAATAGAAAACACATTTAGGCAATACATCAGGATATTTATATCGCGCGACGGTCCGTGATACATTGATGTATCGCCACAAGAGACGATATATCCCGATACTACATAAGTACTACTTAAAGTTGTAAGGAATATTGCATTAGGAATAGGAAAGGAGTCTAGTGAATTCTAAAAACAAACTGAGCCTTATAGGAATTTGTTTGTATTTGTTACATAAACAAAGGAGTTGGTGTAGAAGTGATAGAGTGTGAACATTTTGTCAAACTCCGTGAACTGTAAAATACTTGTCTTCAAGTAATTACAAGTACAAGTAATTGAAATATGTTCTATATAGTTGTTTGACAAATAACACCATTTATTCACAACTATGACTGATGTCTTAGCTTTGTTGAGAAAGAGAACAAAGATAAGATACAATTTAGACAGCAGACTTAAGAGTTTTGAAATCTGATATAAATTACATTGAATTGTTTGTGAAATAATTGGTGTAGAAACACAACTTCCCAAAGGAAACTTCAGTTTCAAATTTATTTTCAGGTGTGCTGAACATATTTGGCTGTACCTTCTTCAACATGAAATGATGAAATGTTATTAGATCAACAGCTCTTTAAGTGTGTGTGTGAATGTAACACAGGTTTTAATGAATTTAGAACTATTTTCAGTCACGATATGGCTGAAATACTGCCACTGTGACTATAAATTTTAACTCACTCACTTACTCACTCATGATATATCGTCTCGCCTCATTAAACTGGTATCAGGATATATCGTCTCCCCACTTAGACTACGAAACACAGCTCTAATACCAAGTATGTGCATATTTACCAATTTGCAACAGTAATTTACATCGGGAATCATTAATACATTGTAATCATCATTTTTGAAAGTATAGATAATAAAATTTGTGCAGCTATGATCATGAGTATGATAACTCATACAAGTGTGGACTAAAATTAGGGACCTACTGGATCATGTCTGTGTGAACACACCTGTCTGTGTTTTATTGCAAGAAGCAGTCTCTCCTTGTATGTCATATATAAGGAGTGTACCTAAGGTCAGTTATTTAAACTATAATGTAATTTCCATCACAAAAAGTATTACCTACTAATCGGAAAGGCTTATCTGTACCCCACCGCCACCAACCCACCCTAGGCCTACCTCATCCCACACCCTCTCCCTCTCACACACATGTACACACACACTCCCTAACATATATATCGCTCTGGTCCATAGACCCAATATTTGAACCTTTTAAGCAGACATCATGTGTATGTCAAGAAAGGCAGGCACGTTAATAGTGTTGCTCAGTCATGGGTATCACTTCGCCATGTGTTTCTAATGATCTCCGTGCATTATGGCGTGGTCCGACGCGCTAACGAACCCGATGTGACAGTTACATTACAGAACCATTGAAATACATGTTAAAGTAGTGTTAATCTTGTAACACTATATTTACCCATTACCAACCATTTGCGCGTGTACTAAATATATGACAAACCTAACCCTGGTCATACGAGATTTCAAAGGTATTAAAATGCATGTCCTTCAATCACTCACAACATTTACATATGTTACACATGCTAGAAAACATGAAAACAATGGCCAAATTTACACACCTGTGAAATCCATGTAAATACAGAGTTGAATGTTCGTTTATTTTAACACCCCTTTAAACGTGTGTAAATCTGACAGCCAGATGATACGTAGATTTCAAACGTTGTTCATATGGCCGCCGGATGAAACGTATATTTCCTAAAGTTAGTAAATTTGGGTAATACAGTCATTTTGTGTGGTGTACATGCAGAACAAAGACATATTCTAGATGTATAATGCGAGTCTGTAAATAATCAGGTTTGGACCAGACATACAGTGGTTGATCTTAACAACATTTCATTATCAAGCAACACTGTTTACCTGATTAGCCAGAACGTGTTATCAGTTAACAGTAATATTGAATAAAAACTCTGAGCTCTCAAGACTTGATGATAGATGTAAATACTGTGCCCAGAGGGAAATATGACAGATATAATGTTTAGAAG